TTTCCAGATATGAAGAGAAATCATATCTCCTTAAGTATTCTTAATTCAAAATGGTACAAGTACAACATTGAAAATGGTGTCCTCAAAGTTATCGAAAGAGCCCGTGTTGTGCTAATAGGACATAGAAAATCCAATTTATACATCTTCCAGAATGATACAGAATTTTCAAGTAATCAACATATTTGAAGAACTCGGGTGAATTTAGAGTTTGCTTCTGTTCTATTAGAGTCTAATATGGGATCTTCTTATAAGAATACATCTCAGTTGAATTTTGAAAATATGGATAAATCCATCTTAGCAACCATTATGAAATTGTCATTGTATTAAATTGTTAGAAATAGACCAATTTTGGCCATAAGATTCCACATAGATACAATTCTATTGATTTTGTTGATGGGTTGAATGCGGTTAAGGGTGTTGATTCTAGTCAAGATCCTTCTTTTGATGCATTCAGCTGTGATTTTGTTACAAGGATTGTTTCGCCCCTGTTTGGTGGTTAATAGATCACTTTTGCCACTAGTTGGTGTAGCGAAGGTGGAGAAGATCGTTTATATTTTTCATTGAAGAGTTTAAGTTTATTCCTTGCAGTGAAAATTGTCTTCAGGTGGAGAATTTTTTTAATTTTTGTTCATTATAGTAGAATTCGTGTTAAGGTAGAGATTGTAAGAATTTAGGTGTGATTGAAAATTCTTCATTGGAGATAACTGAGAGTTCTAATTAATGTGTACATTAAAAGAAATTCTATTTGGAATGCTTTTGGAATTCTATTCGAAATCTATTTGGCAAATTCTTGTTGAATTTCTATTTGAAAGCCTTATTGAGAGTTGAATTTCATGTTGGACTTTAAGAGATCAATATAATGAAACTTTTGGCATTTTGTTTCATCTATAACTCTACTTTTAGGGCTTGAATTATTCCCTATATAAAGTTGGCCCTTCATTATGACTTAATAAGAAGTTAGAAATATTAGAAATATATGATCTTTGTATTCTTTCTCCATATTATAATAAAATATACATTCTATGCAAATTATTTTATTCTTGTATTCTTGTGGTTCATTACTTCGTATTATAGCTTAATCTCTTATTTTCTCCAATAATTTGGTATTGGATTAATCCTTTATCTTTCGATTATCATAACAAACTGGTATCAAAGCTATTCCACTTTTAATAAGGTGGTTTCAAATCTGGTCCGAATTATAACAATTTTGTTACACTTTTTCTTCATCTTGTAGTAGTTGAGTTGAGTAGCTTTGAAGCTTATTAATTTTTTGAGTTGAGCCATGTGACATAATCACATGAATTGGTTGTTTGATCATGTTGTCATCAACTTCTGGGGACAAGTAATCATTTTGATTAAAACTCAAGGAAAACCCAAGGCCACGAGCAAAAGCCATTCACAAAGTCAAATAAACTTGAGGCCCTGATGGCATGCATTGGAAGAAAGAACGGATAAAATTGAAGAAGAAAAAAGAAGTTAAAAATTTTGCTAATCAAGGTCCACTTCTACTGAGTAATGCATGGCAAACGTACACTATCAAATTGACTGCAATCTTTTTTTCAACTTTGAAGATCCCACCAAAGTATTTTCTACTGCAATCTATAGACGCCCTGAGTCCTATTAAATATATTAGTTTTATCTAAGGGTGGATTAATCATTTATTTATCTCTTTGTAAGGCTATTTAAACCTTTATTTTCTGTATTTTCAATTAATTCATCAATCAAGAAACCCTAGCCTCCTTTCACTTTTCTCTCCATGTTTTGTATTACTAATTTAACATGATATCAGAGCCACCATCTCATAGAATTTATTGATCTACTAGAAGAAAGTTATAAGAATGGTTATCGCTTTATTGCCGAGTAATTGCTTGGCTGCCTTTTTTTCCCCTATGTCTAAGGAATACATGCATGCATACATTTGTGTGTATGTGCATTTTACGGGGAGTGAATCACTGGCTCTTTGGATTTTATTTTAATTGGGTTATGATTTGTTGTCTTGCTATTGGTGTTATATATTTGTTCAACATTAATAAAAACCGGCGTGTGGAATGGAAAAAGGAATTGGAAGCCTTCTCTTTGGACCATGCGACCACACGGAAAGAGTCCATGCGGTCGCATGGTTTGGTGCCGAAAATCTCACGGGCATGATCACTTGAACCATGCGGTCACATGGTTGGTTTTGGTGACCGTTGTGGCCATTTTTCAGTTTGAATTATGGCAGCTTTTGAGATGTTTTTAGCAACCTTTCAACATGATTTTGGCACCAATTCGTGGCATTGATTATGGCCTATAGGCCATGGGTGATCAATGGAAAATATGAAAAATCGTATTACAGACACCTGAGAAATATTATTCTCTCATTCCACAAAACGAAAGTTGAAATCCTTTCTTCTTCCATATTCAAACCCCCTAGTGTTCTTCAAGTTTTGGAGAATCACGCATGTGCTTAAGCGTTCGATTCTTTACAAGGCTTGTTATAATCCTACAAACCGTTTGCCGCGTGACCCTTTAAGCACCAAATTATATTCGAGAGGGGGCAAATACAGTTTGAGGATAGCGATTACGCGTTCGAGCCTTCATATTCATTTTGATCTTCATCTTGTCTATTTCATCTTCTTGATATTATGGTTTTGGTTTATTCTCCATTTTCCTTGGTGATGCAAATATTTCCAACAATTGGGTATTGTTTAATTCTTGCAATGGTGAAAGCTCTAGGTCGGAGTTTATTTGTATGATTTGATGACAATGAGTTTTTCGGGAGATTGTTGAAGTTGGAGATTAAGTCAATGAGAAAGAGTTGGCTTGGATTTTTGTGTGCATTTTGGAGACAAGCAAGCACAATATTTTTGGCTTACGCTGATTCTTATTTGATTTTGATTTGGTAGTCATCTATTTATTTCCCAATGATGATTCTCTTCAGTTTATTATTGTGCAATTAAATGGGAAGAACTATTTTTACTAGAGTTATGTGATGAAAATTTTTTTGAAGGGCAAAAAGACACGTGGTTATGTTTCTGTCACCTCTATTAAACCAAAATATGATAAGGTTGTCAATTATGTGGAGTTGGTAAATAATTGGAAATCTAATGATTCAGAGATTATTACTTGAATTAATAATTCTGTTGTATAGTGGATAGGCACACAATTGGCTAAGTATGATACTGTCAAGGAAGTTTGGGAACATTTGGCTGGATTTACACACAATCTAATTTTGCAAAATAATATTAATTAGAGACAGATATTCACTCTCTTCAACAGAAAAGTATGAGATGACAGTTTTACTCTTATTTTTAGTATACTACAATTTATTCAGTGTACAAAATAAAGGTTTGGACTTATGGTATTACGATATGATACTTTTATTCAGATTTTTATTAATACTACTATTCAGAATCTTTACGCTTTACAGGTGCTTTATTAGAATCAAGCATAAATGATTTTACGATTTTCATTATTTACAATTTTGAAAGTGATTAATTAGATTTTAGAATTGCGAAATGTTATAATAATATATAAATCATTTTTTTTAAAATATGTGTTAACTAGAAAAGTATAATTTTTTGCGAACTCTGTGCTGACTTAGTTACATACATATTTTTCACACTTTTTCTTCATCATGTAGTAGTTGAGTTGAGTAGTTTTGGAACTTATTAATTTTTCGAGTTGACCCATGTGACATAATCAGATTGCATGAATTGGTTGTTTGATCATGTTGTCATTAACATCTAGGGACAAGTAATCATGTTGATTAAAACTTGAAAAATACCCCCAAGGCCTCAAGCAGCCATTTACAAACTTAAATAAACTTGATGCTCTGAGTGCTCGATAAGAAGGAATGGACAATATTGAAGAAGATAAAAGAAGTTAATATTTTTGTTTATTAAGTGTCCACTTTTACTGAGTAATAATGCATAGAAAACATACACTATCAAACTAACTAAAATCATTTCCGTCCTTGAAGATCCCACCAAAGTGCCTTCTACTTCTCATAGGCCATGACATTATCAGCCTGTTTGGGAGTGATTTTTTGGCCCAAAAATTGATTTTTTAACCGTTATTTCACTATTCCAGTCGTCAACAAGCTCTATATATACCAATAACATCTTTAAATTTTAGACAATAAAATATCCTATTTAGGGGGTAAATGAATTATAATTAAGAAAGAAAAAATAGGATTTTGGGATAAGAAATAAAACAAACTAAACAAAAAACCACGGAAACCTTTCACAGGTCACATCTCTCGAGTTATCTGTTCTGCAATTTGACTTTCTCACTAACTGTGAGGTTCTTGAATATATAATGCTATTTTACATGCTACACTTGCACCCGTCATAAAATATCACTTGGCATGTATTCAAGATACTCTATATATATATATATTTCAGCTTTTTCTGCATATTAAGGGTCTGAATAATGTAACCATCTATAGATAAAAAGAGCAGCAAAACCCACAAAACCTCAATAATTTTACCAAAATCAACCCATAAATGATGCAGTTCAAGATTCCCGTGTTAAATAAAATATAAAATCAATCATATCTAAGTATTAGATTAATTAATGAAAGAGCGTAAATGTAGATCGTGTAAAAAGACATCTTGATGCCAATCTATTGATCTGCTCCTCGTTACAGCAGCAATGTTTAGGTATGTACCGAAGGAAGCAGTTGAAGAATCACCTGTCAAGCGTATCCTGCGAAAACGAGGACCTATCTTGAAACTTCTTTGCAGAATTACGTTTAAATTCACTATATATCTGACAGTACCAACAATTTTCTTGAAGAAGTCTGATGGTGGAAAGAAATTTTTCCATTAGACTGCCTCAAGGAAATTCTCTTTGATAGACTTCCAATACCATTACTTAAAAACGTTAAAAAGTAATTGAAGCCCGCCCAAAGTTAAAATAAATACATTCTGATGGTTTTTAGAGATGCCAGCCAGACGAGATAATCCTGATGAATATCATCGTGGAAGAAAATTATACATGAGCTGCTCAACAAGATCTATACCAGAAAAAATAAGATTTATTAACAAATAAAAGGTAAATTAGATAACAAGATACATTATCAAAAGAAAGCCACTGAACTATATCTCGTCGCTACAATCTTACTAGTATCCATATCCTTTTACTTTATAAGGGAAGACGTCCCACTTAAGAAATAATCAACTTTGTGATGTATATACAACCTAATCAACTTCTCCAAAAATTTTCGTAGCTTTAAACCACGTAGTGATAGTGTAAACTCTGTCAAAAGGACCGTTAGAAGAGCTTCTAGCATCACAACAAGTATCACAGACTATTCCGCCATGTAATATTCTGATGCACACAAGGAAACCTTCTCAAGCTGTACTGGCCAATCTTCTCCGAGTATCCTGGGATTCGACTCCATCGCAACTTGAAAATCCGGCATTGACACAGTAAACGATCTATTTGGCTTCTTTACATATGTGGAACCCATCTTATTTATCACAGATACATCCTGATGGTTAACGTTATTGAGCAGCTGGTGTTCAGACCTCGAAGCAGCTAAATCCAGACAGGGTTTTATTAATCCCTTCAAAAACACATCCAGTCCATTGTTTAACAAGCCTGCGCAATCTTTTGAAACATTCAAACCCTCCGTCTTCAACTTCTGTTCCAACCTCTTCCTCAAAGAACTCGTACTCGGCAACTCCCCTGTTGTAAAGCAGGTCTCAGAAGGTGGTGATTCATTGAGCAATACCTTTCTTGTACCTCCTGCATTAAGAGAGATGCCGAGAGGAGCTCTAAGAGGGCTTTTACTATAAGTTTCGGGGCTTCCTGCAGATTGTTCCACCTCTTCACCATCTTCCACAGACGTAACCTCAACCGGAGGACGGCTACCCAAAGATAGCAACTCAGTAGCACTCTGCTGCTCTTGAAGCTTCGGCATTGTATCTTCACACACCACATTGTGGGTCTTCCCATGTGGCCCGAGAGGGCTTGGTCTGTCCTTGAACTTGCGATCTCGAGGGGTCGGAGTTCTCCCCTTCCTAGGAGATTGAGGAAACGTGTCTCTACAGATCGATTGAAGACTACTTCTTTGATACCCGTTCAGCACTTTAACACTCAGTGGAGCTTGAGCTTTGCCGCTTTTAGGTGGAGGTGTCTTGGCAACACTTGCATTCTTGATAATTGCTCGAATAAGTCCATTATGAAGAGAAATGTTTTCTCTCCCCAACAACCCAGTACAGAGCTTATCAAACTCTCTTTTGCTAAGCCTGAGACTTAAAAACATATTCAACAGATTGAAATATTTCTCCGCCTTCTGCCGACCAAGTCTCCTCTCAATCTGAAGTCTCAACTTTGAAGTATCTACTCGGAGACAATGCCCATCTACAGGCATTTCCGGTGCAGAATTCATTGATACCATAAAAAATTCAAAGTAATTTGGGAAAACAAGAAAAACCACAAACTCGATTTTCGTTTGCTCGATTTAAAACCCTAATTCTTGTCCATTTCCATCTGAAAGTCAACTCGATGAGCACAGTCAATAATGCCTGCTGATACACAGTGGATAACTAAATTCTGCGAAAAATAGCAAACACGTATACAAATCAAGCTCAGAAACAATTTAAATTACTTAATTTACAGGAAAGATTCCAGATTCCATACATCAGAGACAAGAAATTTAGCACACTGTCAGCTTAAATTAGCGAAATTACAATAAAAATTACCCTAAAAACCTTCAAGAATTATAAAAAAAACGCCCAGAAGATAAATTTATTGAATTTCAAGCGAATTTTCAGCTTATCATCAAACCTTTTTCTAAAATCTCAATCAAGAAACAAGAAAACCCATTAAAACAAACTAAATAAAACAGTAACAAAGAAAGAAAATAAAAACACCGACCTCATTCAATTAAGCAAACCAGGTTTGAATATCGAAGGAATTGAATTAACTTTTACAAATCGTCAACCTTTGGAGAGCAGAAGCGATCGAAGTTCGGGGTTGTTAGAGAGAGAAAGTAGGAGTGAGAAATTGCTTAGGGCATGTTTGGAAGGTTCTTCTCAAGTCATAGATTAGTCAAAAGGCACGTGCGTAAATTTATAAGTGTGGGAATCCGCAGTGACAACTGACTAGTGGCAAAATTTTGTGACGCTCAACTTATGTTTTTGTGTACGAGGGGAAAGGTTTTGTTTGGCTTTCTAGTCATTATGACTTGTCCGGAGTAACTACTAAGTACCACCGCTTTGAAAATCGGCTCGAGTCGGCCATCCAACTAAGAAATAGAGATATTTGCTCATTTCGACCATGAAGTATGAAGTATCAACAATTTTTGCACTTCTTCGTCGGAATATGCTCGATGGAGCATCCCCTAGATGAGTTTGATTAAATCTTTTTATTTTTTTTATTTAAACCTCCAAATTTTATAGATCAGCCCTCACGTATGGTGGAGGAATACCATGAATACAACTTCACATCACAATTTGACAAACTCAATGACAAAACTATTAATAACTTCGTACATATGGAAAATGATTTCCATTTGATATAATCAAGTTGGTGACTACCCCTGGAAGATTTGTCATATCATGAAAGACTTTCGTGTTTCCACTTCCACCTATTTTAGATAGTGCGTCTATAACTTGGTTTGCTTCCCGAACATTACTATGCGATTTTCGAATATGAATTCCCAAAACTCGTAATGCGATGCAATCAGACAAAGATAGCCTAGTTACCTTAGCTACATTAGCACATAGTACACCCATCATCACTTCACTAAAGCCCAAATCTGATCACAATTAATAGCCTAGAAAATCAGAAAAGGAGAAAAGCCAATAGTCATGCCTACTTGGGACGTCTTTGATGCCTTAGAGAACCAAAAGTTCATTCTTTGTCTCCAACCCATCGATGTAATGTGAGAGATGCCTATGGCCGTTGATATCTGTACCACCACAACATTTAACCTCAAGTCAGACTCCACTACCTCTACCAGGTTTGATAGCAGTCCTATACTAGACCAATTATCTTACCGTAAGTTAACATCTCCGCTTTTGATTTGCCACACCGAATTTTCAATTACCATAGGTATCAAATTTGCTATGCTCTTCTAGAATGGTGAATTCGAAGCTGATATCTGAATCTCATTGTATGATTTGTAAGGGAAATATTTTGCTTTTAGGAACTCCTGTTGTAGAGAATTTGAGAAACAAAATTTCCAAGCAAGTCTTGTTTTAAGAGCTACTTGTACTTCTGCTAAGTCTCGGATGCCTAAGCTTCCTTATGATAAACGTTTGGTAATATTTCCAAAGCTCACCCAATGTCGCTTAGCTTCGACATCTGCCTCTCCCAAATAAAATTTGAGATCAATAAGTGAATATGATAAACAACCCCTTTAGGTATGCACGTGACCGATAAGAAATGTATAGGCATGCTTAACAAGTGTTAATCTTCCTCCAACTGATAATAGTAAAAATTTATAGCCAAATATTTTCTTTCTCACCTTCATAACTAGCGGCTCGAAATGTCTGATACATAAATGGCTTGGAGATATCGGAACGCCCAAATAAGTAATTGGAAAAAGACCCTTGTGTAAAGTTACTCAGCTGGAGTGTTTCATTCTTTCTCGACAAGGATCCGTGCTTCGAGAAAAATATAGTTGATTTCCTATGATTCACTCTCTATCTCGACATATTTTCATAAATGGATAGGATCTCTACCACTATTTTAATAGACACTTTACTGCCATTACAAAGATAATTAGATCGTCAGCTTATAATAGGTGAGAGATACTAGGTGCTCCAACAGGAAGAGAGTAATTTCTAATGCGTTGCTCCAAACAAGCTTGTCATAGCATGCATGTAAGAGTCTCTTCTGCAATAATAACCAGGTATGGAGAGAGGGGATCTCCTTGACGGATTCCTCAGGAAGATTTAAAAAAAACCCTCGATAAGTACCATGCATCATCACCGAGAATGAAGGTGCGTCAAAACACCATCAATTGATCGAGAAAATTCTTTGCACTATTTGCTATCGCAACGATTTTATTGGATGTTGATATCTTTTTGGACGGTGTTTTGTACTATTTTATCGGATGTTGATTCTTTAATTTTTTCGATCAACTGACAGTACTTTGGATGGTTTATGTCCAAATGGACTTCAAGTGCATATTTATAAAGGTTGGAAACATCCGCTAGCACAAAATGAAGGATAGGGTAAAATACGCAAAAAATGAAAATGTTATGGACTGTTACTGCTATTTTCCCTTAAATTAATTAGATACGGATTTACCCGATTTTTCTTTCACGTCGTGTTAAGAGAAATGAAAGAGATTTTTTTTTTTTTAAAGGAATAATCCGGCTTTGAAATGTTGCTATAGAAATCACTGACATCGTAAAGATAATATTTAATATTGATAAAGATATCATGCTATATATGGTTAATTTAATTTTTATATTGTTTCACTAATTATTTTGTAGGCCAAATTTGTCACTTGGTGGTGTCTTACTCTAAGAAACTTGACAATTTTTAGAATTTCTCCGGATAGTTAGTAATTAATTGCAAGAAGAACACGTGGGGGTATATCGTATTTCATAAGTCATATATTACTGTATCACATACAACTAAAAAGTCATACGAATTGTTTTCAAAATAAGTAAATTAATTTTTTTAATATTAATTGATAAACATATTATTTAGCCCCTGTTTGCTAACATTAAAAAATATTATTAAAACTTAAATCAAGGTCAAAAATTAATTTTAATCACACATTTTATTGATCCCATAACTTTTTAATCATATATTTTTATCGATTTTTATTAAAATTTCCTATGAATCTGATTTTAATCTCTACCAAATAGAACGTAATTTAACTTTTTCATTTATTTGTTTATAAACTAGTTAGAAACTCAACTTCGAACGTATTCCCATTGGGAACATAGCACATGACCTTTCATTTCAGTGACGTTATTCGTGTTCCTAGAAGAGTTTTATATTTTAACACGTGCATTGTACATGAATTTGTAACATTATAATATATTTTTGTGTCATGTTAAAATTTTAAGATTAAATTTCACTTTGAATTTCCAACCTTTTGTATTCATGAAGATTTAATCAGCATTTAAATTTTGTCCTCTCTCCCATTTCCCACCTTTTATTTATCTATGGATGAATTCCATCAGATTCTGTCGTTAATCCAAATTTTTTATTGTTCTTGCACTTTATGCCAAGGGACAATTTCGCTAATCCACTTAAATCACCATCTCCTTCCTTCCAATTTTCCCCTCTTATTATATGTTGAGTTAGTGGTCAACACTTATTATTTCCTTCTTCTTCATGTGCTATTTCTCCTTCCTCTCAAGTTCTCCTCTCTTTTCTTCTGTATGTTGTGTCAACGGAATTCAGGATCTGCAGATATGGGAGTCGAATGGATCTAAAAACTTTTTGGATTGATGCCAAGATGATTCCTTGTCTTAATTTTATGAGTAATACTATTTTTAGTCACTCACTGCAGTAGTCACCATGTGATTTAATGTATTAATGTGATATTTTTTTCTCGTATATATCAAATTACTAATCGCTACATGTAAGATGACTGTGATAATGAGTGATTACAAATAGTATTATTCTAATTTTTATTGTTGAATGTTCTAGGGATCATATTGCCATACTTTGTGTTGTATGATCCACCTATGTGACCATCCAAATGAGGTACTTCCTAGGTTGTCGAGGTCAACACGTGAATTAGAAGCAACAAACTTTACAATACAATATGAGAAAGAAGATTACAAGATGAGACTAGTACAATTGAAGATGCGATTAGAAGATTTGAAGTTGAGAAAAGAACGCCACAAGGTTCGAATAGAAGGCTAAAATCAAAGAACAAAACATTTCATGCTTAGAAGAGATGAGTAGAAATGCCAGAGCCAGTGGACAACCATGCTTTATTTTTGTGTATACTGGGATAGTGGGATTGTCTATAGTTCGGAAACTATTTTTTAGGTACAAGGTTAATCGCATATGGTGAAATGGTCCTAATTATAAGCTTGCCACGATAATTTTAACATTCGAAATGAAGTCCATGCTCTTGTTTTGGATTACATCAGCTTTTAAAGGTTGGAGATTTAATATGTAAATGTGTTTAAAGGTTGATACCAGGGGCAGACTCAAGATTTTGCTTCAGTGGGGATGAGAATTGAGACAAAATTACTTTTAAAAAAATTTCAAATTAGAAGAAAAACGATAATATTCAAAACGTGGTACTTTTTTTGACAATTGTTCCTTATGACTTCTCATACTTTGAAAATGCCATATAATAGTCTTGTCATCAATTTCATTAAATACATCTTTTCGAACATACACAACTAAACTTTCATTCATCGATTGGTCTCCAATCCGATTACGCTGTCGATTCTTTACAATATGCGTTTAAAATATCTCAATATATCTTTCTACAAATTAACCAAAGCTTGCATAAATATAAAATATACCAACGGTGAAATGAAAAGCTAATAGATGAACATCAAGAATTGAGATTGCAAATAGCAAAGTTAAAAAATGAATTGCAACAAAGAGGGCAGCTGCGTAGGTAATACTAACAGGAGCAAAATATTCCATTATGCATTAATTCCAAATCAAGTTCAAATTGGTATAATCATCATTCATCAGACGCTATCCGTCTAACTCATTCCAGTGAGCTACTCAATTTCAATAAATAAAGAATAAACCCAGATAAATATAAGGTGAAGTCTCAAGGCTGCCACTCAATAGCACACTCGTCGTCTTGGTTGAAAGCAAACAAAGCGTATAATCAAGGTATTTAAAGGTTGAACCCCAATTTTGAGGGCCCATCACCCCTGGAGCATCGTGAGGCTGGTAAATCGCGGAATATGTCCCAACAGGTCAAGGAACAATAGTTTGCCCGTATACTGGTGTCCAACAAAGAGTTCAATTTCATATAAGCAAGACTAGGACTACCTCACTCCTATCATTTACGTTATGCCCAGTGGGCGTATAGTCAAGGTATTTACAAATACAAGGAATGGATCTAATGGTGAATCATCTATCTTTACTGGTCTAAAGGA